TGGAATAATTTTTTACGCGGCAGATGCATCATACCCTCAACAGTCGAATTCACTGAAAACCTCATTTTCTAAAAAAATCGACTTAACCCGTTGCTCTTCGCTACTGCCATGTCCCTTAAAATACTTCTCCAAGCCCCAAAAACTCCGCTTTGCTCCTCATAATCCCCGCACAACCACTTTTTCCCAAAACTCCATCCCCACGCGTCTCAAAAAACTGACGCCGCGATATGCGCAAGCGCAAGGCTCCATTTTCCCCGCGCCGTGCCAAGAGCCTCCATTTTGCCCACCATCCGCCGAAAATCCCCTCACGTCGATCGATCCCTCCTGGACATTACATCCCCTCACCCCTCCCCCTCAGCCCTCCACGGTTATGTGAGCAAGAATAATTTATACGCATTATTCACGGCTGCCTTGACGGTGTACCGTGCAGCCCAAGCAACTGGCACGTCCATTGTGCGCACAAGTAGGGGTCGCAGCGTTTTCCCGAACTCATAACCATGCACGTGGAAACGAGAGAGCTTCACTAATACACGAGAGCATTCCCTTCCCTCCGCCGTGATCTCTTGATTTGCGAATTTCTCTCGCGTGCCCCATTCTGTCGCTCAAACATTCGCTCTAGTACGAGTTGCCGGTGTAATTCGACATACTTAATGTCACTAATGCCTTCAAATTACAAGCGTGTCACCAAGCGATTAGATACCAGCTAATTAATGTTTCCGCGGATGGTGGGAGTCACTGCAATTAATCGTAATACAACGGTGTAAAGTTGTAATGAATGCCGCGACTCTTTAATCATTGTAATTAAATTTTTTAATGACAATAATTATTTGGATAAATACGTGACAAATTAAATTTTATGACTTCACTGAGTCATATTCAACTCTACCATTCGTTAATAGTTAACAAATCTCGTTTGGAATGAATGAATCATTCTATCAGTGCACTTAAGGATGTTCTACACCCTTTCTGCCAAAATTCACGTTTTTTTTAATTTTCTGGCAAACTTATGATGGAATTGACGTGAAAAAATATAACGTTTTTGCGTTTTGTCATTATTTAATGACTGACGAAATTTTAAGGTGGTGCGAACATTTTCCTGCGTTTTCTCTAAACTTTTAAAAAGAATCATAAAACTGTAGAAAAAACGAATGAAAATTATCGCCCCACTACGCAACTTCGTGAGCCATTAAAGAATGACAAACCACAAAATCGTTATATTTTTTCACGTCACTCCCATCGATAATTTGCCAGAAAAATGAAAACAACGTCAATTTTGGCTAAAAGGGTGTCGAACATCCTTAACTCAAATCTCTGCTATATTATTAAATTGCCATTCAAATTCCTACATCACTGAAAAAACAATGGCAATACGATTAAGTGGATGATTGATTTTTCAAACTACTGGGTTATTTAATAGGTGGTAGGCACTGTGAAAAGCGTGGAGCATCGTATTATTATACCCATGGTAAAACGCAATGAGTCGGCTGTCCGCGTTATGACTGTGCATATTGTGGCGTATTTTTTTTCTTCTTTTCCTCTGGCTTCTTTAACTCTCCCCCTTGTGCGATCGCCAGAAGTGGATGTACTTGGCCGAGTATAACCGGACACTTTCTAGAGCACGTACACACATTCGCTTGTAAGAATGAACCGGTGACGGTCAAGGTGAGCATTGTGAGATAGTATATTTCGTAAAGAGTGCAAAAAAGTGTTTTTCGGCGAGTGGGAGGTTTATATCGCGAGCCGAAGGCGAGTGATATGATCCCACGAGCTAAAAAACATTTTTTCACGAGTTACGAACAATATTTTTCATCATAATGTGGCGGAAATTGGACTTTTAGGCACGCGGAGCGTGCCGAAAAGTTCTTTTTTCGTCACAGCGTGATGAAATAGTATATTTCGTAACGAGTGCAAAAAACATTTTTTCACGAGTTACGAACAATATTTTTCATCATAATTTGGCGGAAATTGGTCTTTTTTCGTCACAGCGTGATGAAAAGTATTTTATGAGCTACTTGATTGCGGAAGCTCGAGGCATTTAAAATGGTGATTTTGTGGTTTATTTGGCTTGTCGTTTAATGCTGTATTTAGTTTACACTGTTGGAAAATTACTCTTGAAATTTCGAGGGGAAAAGCTTGAATTTTTTACAACGACAAAGTTACGTGAAATTTCGGTAGAATTCTTGATGAGGAATCAGTTGATTTCTTGAGTATTCAAGTAATTCTCGACTTTCAGGTCCTTACGGCACTGAAAAGCCTTGAAAATTTTGAAAATTCAGCAATAACTTTTCTCAATTTTCAATCTATTGACCTGTTTTCAATGAATATCTCGGAATCTAAGGGAGATAGCAAAATTTTTAATATAACATTTTTTGTAGAGCCGATTGAGAGCTACAACAAATGTAATTACGAAAATTTCGATATCTCCCTTAGATTCGGAAATATTCCTCAAAAACTCAACTGGAAGATGAGTTGACTTAAGGGGAGACTACTATGAGTTTTAAAAGTCGTGGGTTATTGGAGAGAACCTTTTGATACGTTGAAGATCGATTATATAGATCTGAAAACGAATAATTATTGCCAAAAAAAAATTTTTATTGTTCGTTTGGCCGAAAACGCTTAAAATGCCAAAAACAGTCCAGGGCTTCCAATTTATGAGCTACAAAGGATTTTTTTTTTCAAAATTTTCGGAAAAATATGTGGAATAACAATTACGAGCTATTTTTTTTTAATTCGCCTCTTACATGGCTAAATTTGCTTTTTTTGTATTTTTTTACACAAATAGTGAATTTTTTTATATGAAAAAAACCGAAATCAGCTGTGTAGGAGTCGAATTCCAAAAAACTGGCTCATAATTGTTAATCCACACATTTTTCCAAAAATTTTGAAAGAAAAAAATCTTTTGTAGCTCAAAAATTGGAGGCCCTGGACTGTATTTAGCATTTTCAGCGATTTCGGGCAAACGAATAATAAACAAAATTTTTTTTTGCACTAATTATTCGTTTTCAGATCTATATAATCGTTCTTCAACGTAAAAGTCTCACTCCAATAACCTACGACTTTTAAAACTCATAGTAGTCTCCCCTTACTGTTTTACCACTTCACTACTGAATTGAATTCAAACTCAGAAGATTGAAAATTCAGATGAAATTGTGACTGAAATTTCAAGAAATTTCTAACAGTGTAGGCACCGGATATGCGGGAAATTGGAGAACTAGTCGAGATTATTATCGTTATGTGGGCACCTCCCCCGTATGTATTGCCAGGACTGACTGTCCACTCTGGATTTAATCGAAAGGAATTGATAAATCCAAATGAGGCAATTTCACTGTGTGATAACGCCATTCTTCTTATACATTGTGAATGCTAAAATTATTGCATTAGTGTGCAGCAAAAATGAAAAATGTCTTCGGAATAAATTCCTAAGTGAGATAAATAAACTAATTTTTCATCACGCTGTGACGAAAAGTGAACTTTTCGGCACATTGTGATGAAAAATATTGTTCGTAACTCGTGAAAAAATGTTTTTTAGCTCGTGGGATTATAACCTCCCACTCGCCAAAAAATACTTTTTGCACTCATTACGAAATATACTATTTCCTTATCTACGGGCTCTCATTAAATTTATGTTCAAAATGATAATTCACCTGCTAAAACCCTCTAAAAATATAACTAAAAATAAGGTAATGTGTAAAATCACACCATCGGGAAGCCACAATAAATAAAATACCCCATAAAGACTTGTTCGCATCCATATTTTTCCGTGAGGGAATCGGTGAACTGTGAGTTCCCAAATTTTAACTGAACATTTCTCTCCGCGTACTTGCGATTTTGGCTAAACATTCCTAAACCTATTTCAAAATTGCGTCTGTCTTGCCCTCTAGCCCCAATAAAGCCATAAAACATTCAACAATCGTCAGTAAAATTTAAAAACTCACCGCACCCGCCCGGAGTTGCCCAACTAGTCGAGATAATTCCCATTCGAAGATGGATATTGTAGGCGTGTTGAGAAGCGCGCGTGTAGGAGTGACTCCCCTTTTACGTAGCGCACAGAATCCCCCGAGTCCAGGGGGATAAACGCAGGGGTACGGTTGGAAATGATACGGGGGGGCCCTCCGGGTTTTTCGTGGCCGGGGTTGGCCTCGCACACCATCGAGGGTGGGGAAACGATGCCAGCGGTAAATGGTGGGGATAACCACTCGACAGCCAGGCAAGGAGAGCCTACGTCGATGGCTCGGCTGTCTGGAGGGAGCGCGCTAACCGGACCGGAGTTGTCAGACGAGTTTGTGCTGGGGCACTGTGTGCTGTGCTCCTTCGGATCTCCACCAGTGGCCACTCCGCGCCATATTTTCCCCTCAAAACCCCATAAACCAGTGTTCCACCAATCGATCCGACATTTAAAACCAAAACTCTTGTTCTCTACCGCTCAAAAATTGCAAAAAAGTGCCGACAAAAAAAAATCCGCGATCAAAAATAATCGTGTGGAATTAATCATAAGTGAAAGAAGCAGTGAATGATTTTGAATCCGCGAAATGCATCGTTATCATCGCCGAGCAAGTGCCTAGTCCACCGAGAATAGTTGTTGGCACCTGCCACAGTGGTCTCGGGGCGCCACACTCACATGTTGCATGCGTGCCGGTTATCCATCATGGTCGCGGACACAGCCGGGCTCTGATTGGTGCGCCGCAGATCACGTGGTATGGTAATTGGCCTCCAGTGGGCGGGAACCGGCGGGCGTTCATGTGGTGGTTTGAGGTACGTGTAGAAAAGTTTCTTGCCTCTCGGTGCATGAAAGATCCAGCGAAACTCCTCTCGGCGGTTTATCGGTGACGGTTGTGCATACTGTGATAGCTGTTATTTTATGACTATCCTAATTAGTTTGCGATTATGGATCGCGGGAGTTTCGAGGGATTGTGAAATGCGTGATGTGTACGAGTGTTTAATCGCGGCTTTGAACATTGGCCTCTCGTGAATGATAAAAAGCGAATTGACGATAATATAAGATGAGTTCGTTCCTCATGAATCCGACCGCCGGTGGCTACCACCAGCAGCACCAACAGCCCAGTCACCACTTGACGGCATCTCCCGTCGTGGTGGATCCGAAATTCCCCCCAACGGAGGAGTACAGCCAGAGCAACTACATTTCCTCGACGAGCGACTTCTTCAGCAGCGGACACCACCTGACACACCCCCAGTCGCATCAGCTGCAGTACGGATACCACCAGCATCATCATCAGGCTGCGTCGACCCCTTACGGTGCAGCATCGGCGGTTCCGCTGAACGGCGGCTACGCGAGCTACGGCAGCTACTACAGCCCCCATCCTCACCACCAGATCCACCCGGTCCACCACCCCAGTCTCCATCATCATCATGCTGTGGGCGCACTGGCGATGCCGCCGGAGGCCCAACAGCCCCCCCTGACCTGCCCCCCCTCGATGCACAATCAGCAGTCGCAGCAGCAGCCGCAGCAGCCACCGCCGACGACGGTCCTGGGATCAACCGCGTTATCCCCGAATCTGTTAACTAGTCATGTACCGCCACCCGACGCGCTCCAGCATCCGGGGCATCCTCCGCCACCGCAGCAGGGCCAGGGACAGTCGACGCCACAACTCGACAGCAATGTCTGCAGTCCGACGGGGACGAACTCCTTGCACAGAGACAACTCACCCGATCTCAATCAATCTAATCAGCATTCCGCGCACATGCAGAACACGCAGTCAACGGGACCGCATCATGACGATCCGTCCGACCAAGACGACATGGACGATGACGCCATCGACGGCTCGCCCCATATGATGGATGACGAGGAGGAGGAGAACGAAAATGGCGAACGCGTTGTTTATCCGTGGATGAAGAAGAATCATATCGCCGGCGTCGGTGAGTTCACATCGACATTGATCGTTGGCGACACGCGGTGTGCGGTCCTCTCCGGATCAGCACGCCGCAAATATTTACAGGCTATTTGTTAAACACCTTACGAGCGCATTCAATCATCCCTCAAATCCTAGAGTCTTTGGAATAGTTTGTATTGTTGGGCGGTCGTTATACACCTCACGCATCGAATTCTACGATTTATGGGACGCCGTTTATCTTTGCGTTTTGTTACACCGACGGGAGACTTATGAGGCGCAATTTATCCTGATAGCTACTTCTTGCGTACCTGCTCAGGGCTCTTGTGTGGTCGATTTTTTTCCTGATTTCGACACGTTTGGGCGGTTGCGAGGGGCTGGTTATCTTCAGGAATTAGAATTGTCGCTATTTCTACTCTGTGCACTTGTGGTATTATTTTTTATTGGATTGGAGAGCGATAGCTCGATGCGGGAGGGATTTTTCATTTTTATTGGATAGATCTCGGTGGACTATTTTTCCGACGATTTCCATAGAAATTTATTTCTGGTTAAATTGGTATATCCCCCGGGGATTTCTCCGATGAAACTTCAAAAGGAAAAATCTGCATCGTAACTCTCGATGAACGAGTAAACCTCGACGTTCGGGCGTTTGCAGTTTCTTTAATGACGAAAAATGACTACTCACTCCAACTTGCAACTGTTCCGTCGATGTAGGACACAACAGCGGTTTTACCGTCGAAACATCCATTTTTCACTTTTGTCCGGGGTCGGACAAAGAGGGTTAATCATATATTGTGTTTTTCTTTTGGACAAAGGCCGCTTCTCGGATTTCTGATGTCGAAAAACGATCCGAGGCGAGCGGTTTCGGACTAGACGAACGAAAATTCTGAGGGATTTTCCAGTAGTGGAGTCGGTTCTCAGTCTTTCCTTTGGAACTCATTCGTAAGTAGGGGAGGTTGGGGTAAAACGGACCCTTGTCACTTTTTTAAAATGTTAATGAGAGGTCGAAATGTTGATAAAATTCAATAATTTCTCTTCAATGCAAAGAACAACTCGTTCCCCTTGTGCCGAGCCTAAACCGAGCTCAGTTGATAAATTTGTTTCTGAGTTATGAATAATTAAACAAAAGTCTAGTGTCCATTTTACCCCACCCGCCCCTATTTGGATTCTCAATCCGTTGTCCATGCTCGTCATTCCTCGTTGAAAAGTGTCTCACAAGGCTCTGTACAAATGATAATTTTAATTCTTTCCTCCACACAAATCGATACGGACAATCGTGTCGGGACTTTCGGGACAAATTTTGTAAATTACTGACATAATTCATTCTCAAAATCTCAGCTCTATACCCGACTTCCTTCTATTCCCATATATTATAATTGCTGCAGAAGTGTCTTAAGGGGAAACGGAACCCCTTTGTCTACATCAAATCTTAGAATTCAATAGCGAAGTGGTAAAACGATTTAAATCGACTCATCTCCCAGTTGAGTTTTTGAGGAATATCTCCGAATCTAAGGGAGATAGCGAAATTTTCCTAATTACATTTGTTATAGCTCTCATTCAGCTCTACAAAAAAGGTTCAACCAAAAATTTTGCTATCTCCCTTAGATTCCGAGTTATTCATGAAAAAATGGTCAATAGTCAAAATTGACTTGTACCGTTTTACCACTTCGCTACTGAATCCTGTTTTCTCCTACAATTATTAATTTCTATCTCTGAAATTACTTTATCGCCTCGATTATCGCATTGTTGAGTCAACGAAGTACTTTATTGAACAAAAAATAATAATTGCAGGAGACAACACAATTCTAAAGATTCATATAAACGCAGGACTTCCATTTCCCCTTAAAAAAAGAACTGAAATCAGAAATAACGAAAATAGCGACCTGTGATTGGCGCTCGTGGTCTTGGGTTTCAGGTTCGGACAATGGTATGGCTAGTCCGACGGCAGCCGCAATCTTCCCTTCGAATGCCGAAGGCCAGACCCCACAATGGTCAGCCCCGGGTTGGAATGGAATGCGTCTGCACGGATTCTAAACTCTTCCCATTCCTCTTCCTTTGACTCGCTGTTCATACGGACAACAAACACATCCATTTGTTTCAAACTTCAAACGTAATCTCCACCAGTTTTTCAATGTCCAGGGGACACAATTCACCGGGACAACTGATTCCTCAGTCGTGACTAGGTTTGAGGAATAGAAAGCTCTCGTTTTGTTGGTATAACTGTTACTGGATATTATGTATGTGATTTTTGACCCATCCGTCTCATTCACGCGCCTTTATCTTGAAGCACACTAGGAGTTTGATGTGTTCCGTGCGCCCGAGGCACTCCAGCATTGTCCGAGGGTCTCTCACAGCTCCTTTTTCATTCCTCTTTGTTTTACTCCATTGACAAATGGCATTCATCTCGACTCAACGGCCTTGGAATCACTCCACCAAGTTGTAATAATCTCGTATTTATCTGGCCTCAGGTTTTTCAATACGAATTAATAAAAAATGCATCACATGTGCGTCTATTGTCCTCGAGACACTATTGATTTTGATTACATAATCACAACAAAAATCATTCTCATCAGTATTCAAAAGGAGTCATGAATATTTATACTACCTTTTTCCTGACACGTGTGCAACTAGAGAAACTACGCATAAACTGATGTCAAGAATCTTTTCCACAAAGATTATTACGCGTGATTGAAAAGGTCCTGTGTGCATAAATCATAATACCAAACAGTGTCGCAATTATGCAGGTATGGATTTTTATTCAGACGGAATACTGCAATCAATGTGCGGTCATAGTTTGAAGTGACCGAATATCATTAACAGCGCGAGGGATTTTTTCATTCAGCTGAAAGTGATTGAGCGATGGTGATAGTCTAATGTTCTACTGGTGTTGTTGTTTTTTTTTTTCGTCGGATATTTTATTATGGTTGAGTGTCACTCTTGAATGGGTTTGGACTCACCGACAGGGGAGATATTTCAGTGTCGAGGCATTATCAGCTTCAATAACTCCAATTGAACTCATGTCAATGACGCAACAATTCACTTTTGGTACAGGCTATTCCCATGAATAAAGATCGAGGTTGATACGTGAAATATTTCGTCGGTTTTTGGTTTTGTTTTTGTTTGTCTAGCGATTGGTTTATTCGTATTGAATGCGATCGGAAAGGGAAGCCTAGGATACGAGTCCTAGTTAAAATGTTTAAGCATGATGTTTCAAAGTCCTATGAATGAAAATTATTCCAAATTCGTGAGGAACTTGAAGGAATTGGACGAACAGTAAGTATTTTGACGCGAGAGAAACGAGACAAGAGACACGACGAGACGAGACAAGAAGAGTCATTCGAGACAGTGACAGAAACGAGACGAGACGAGAAAAGCCGGTCGAGAACGAGAGAAGCGAGAGACGAGAGAATCTCTCAATTCTCGACGAGACGGGAGAAGAAATTGCTCTCGTACTTCGGTACGAGACGAGACAAGAAACCGCATTTTCTTGTCTCGTCATGTCTCTTCAGTATGAGACGAGACAAGAAGATGCAGTCATGTCTCTTCAGTACGAGACGAAACGAGAAAAGCCGGTCGAGAACGAGAGAAGCGAGAGACGAGAGAATCTCTCAATTCTCGACGAGACGGGAAAAGAAATTGCTCTCGTACTTCGGTACGAGACGAGACAAGAAACCGCATTTTCTTGTCTCGTCATGTCTCTTCAGTATGAGACGAGACAAGAAGATGCAGTCATGTCTCTTCAGTACGAGACGAAACGAGAAAAGCCGGTCGAGAACGAGAGAAGCGAGAGACGAGAGAATCTCTCAATTCTCGACGAGACGGGAAAAGAAATTGCTCTCGTACTTCGGTACGAGACGAGACAAGAAACCGCATTTTCTTGTCTCGTCATGTCTCTTCAGTATGAGACGAGACAAGAAGATGCAGTCATGTCTCTTCAGTACGAAACGAGACGAGAAGGGTCATTCGAGACAGTGAGAGAAACGAGACGGAACGAGAAAAGCCGGTCGAGAACGAGAGAAGCGAAAGGCGAGGCGAGACGAGAGAAGAAATTGCTCTCGTATTTCGATACGAGACGAGACGAGATGATGCAGTTTCTTGTCTCGTCTCGTCTCGCGAAATCACTGCGTTCCTCTGATAAATCAGACAAACACCGAAAATCCGCATTTCTTAGCCTCACTTTTCACCCCAAATATAAAGAATACCTGACCCATAACAAATTCGTATTTATTCTTCCAGCGAATCCATCCTACCAGCCTGGTGTAGAGTCCAAACGCCAGCGAACAGCGTACACAAGACAACAAATACTCGAGCTTGAGAAGGAGTTTTATACAAATCGATACTTAACAAGACGACGGCGAATCGAGATTGCCCACATGCTGACCCTGTCGGAGCGTCAGATCAAGATTTGGTTTCAGAACAGACGGATGAAATGGAAGAAGGACAACAAGATGCCAAACACAAAGAACGTCAGGCGGAAAAATGCCAATGGCCAGCCGCAGGCTAAGCCGAGCAAGGGATCCAGTCGTACCAAGTCAGGTGGTGGTAACAATAACAGCCAGAAGAAGAACAACAACAATTCACCTTGTGAGTTTAAGCTGGAGAATACGAGTCTCGATGGTAGTCTAGATATGAGTGATTTTCACGGTGTCAGTGCTGGCCTTCCGCATCCTCATGGCTCTCATACGAATTTCCAAGGCCATCCGCATTCATTGACACACCTTCAGGCCCAGCTGAGTCATCTGCAGGCTAATGGAATGATGGACAGCACTGGTGGATCATTGGGGCACATGAACTCGGGGAGCATCAGCCCTCTGGCGCCCGCAACAAGTCCACCAGGAATTTCAGCTGCTGTTCCAACGACTGTCATCAAATCGGACTATGATCTAACAGCACTGTAACGTCAGCAGACGTCGCCATTGCCTGGAAAGCTCAGCGACCTGACCAATTTCGTGGATGTCAACGATGTGGCACCGTCTTATCAGTGGCTCTGAGACAGCTGTTATCGGGACAAATTTGATCCAGTGAATTTTAGAGTTATTAGTGTACCAATCAATGCTCATTTTGAAGATTAGAAGAATGTGTGGGGGCTATTCTGAAAATGTCGGAGTGGGTGAATTTCTGTGGAAATGCATTTGCAAAATGTGCCATTCTGAGACATTGACTAATACTTGTATTTGAAGCTGTGTCGATTCTAGACGTGGCGAGGCCAGTTTCTGATGATAATGCAACAGTACCCGTGTTTAGAGATTCTGAAAATTGTAGTTTCTAGGTTTTAATTTTCATGAAATTGTACATACGTACTCGGTTTAGGTGTAAATAGGTAGATGTAAAGGTAACATGAGTGGCATGTTCATATTTACGTTCAGGGGGGCTAGGGTACTACGTGTGATTTAAAATTTGAAAAATTTGTTCGTCTCGGAAATTCAATCGTTGATAGGACTTTGTGAAAGTTTAAGGATAGATGCGAGTAAGCGGCAATAAATTCCATTCAGTCATCTCCATTTTCGTTCACATTTTCGAGGAAATATATTGAATACTGACGATTCACGTTTGAAAAAGTGATCGCGCCATCAAACATGGAATAATCTCGATAATAAATGACTACGAAAAAATATTGAAAAATCTTCAGAATTGACTTGTCACGTTTTATCATTTGAACGTTGATTAAACTCAAATGTAAATATCTACAAGCGAAATCAGTTGTAAATATCACTGTTTCAAATAGTCATCTATTTTTATCAAAAATAAAGGAACATGAATAACGACCAATAGTGTATCAACCGTAAATGAAAATAAACTTTGATCGAGTAGATGTCAAATGATCCCTAAATGCACATTCGCTGTGACGACATACCAAAACAATACCATAGGTGTAATACAAATTAGCGTCTAAGCCGAAACATTATACATAATAGAGTATAAACGTTGAATTCCTGATAATGATTCAGTATAATTAGCGTCGATTAGTCGTAGCACGAGTCGCTGATTCTAGAGGGGTTTCGTGGTCGTTATGCGTGCGAAAAATGAATACTTTTACCTTAATTCTGTATATAGAGAGTTGTAACATAAGTATATAATGATGGTTTCAAGAGGACACGCGATAGTGCTTATGTTCATATGAAGATATTCAAAGTTTTAAAGATTAAAGAACAGAAATTGAGGAAATACAATCTTAATGTGAATAAATAACTGAATAAATGTTTCGTAAATTTAATGCGACTTCTCATTTGAATGACAGTTTTACTTTTTGTTTAATAATTTTCTCCATCCAAAATGGCTTCAGGACGAACTGCAGTGGCAACAGCGAGAAAATCGATATTTTCACCTCGTGACGTGGAAAAAGGGGAACTTTTATCGGAATCTATACCCCACTAGGCCTTTTCATACCCCTGTGGCGAGGGGTTATCGAGCAGGAGAGAGTAATAACGCAATGTTGTATGTGGGCGAGAGGGCCTTGAACACAAAAGCCCAACAAAAAACCTCTCTCTAACGTCATGGTATTTTTTCGGAGGGGTTGCAGATGTGAATACGGGCTTCCAGTCATGAAAGCTACTGGCTTTTCTTGGCATATCATCGTGTATACTCCAATTGCTGATTGCCATGAATACGACCTTTTTCGCTGCGTCACGTTAGATTCTTACAGGAGATTTCGAGACCAGCTGTAGAGGAAAAAAAATATTGAAATTTCTTTTTAAATAAGGGAGAACATGCACTGGTTGAAGGTGCATGCGATGAAAAAATCCTGATACCCCGCATGTGTGTACGACCTCGTTTTTTTTTTTTTTTTTTTTTTTTTTTTTTTTTTTTTTTTTTTTTTTTTTTTTTTTTTTTTTTTTTTTTTTTTTTTTTTTTTTTTTTTTTTTTTTTTTTTTTTTTTTTTTTTTTTTTTTTTTTTTTTTTTTTTTTTTTTTTTTTTTTTTTTTTTTTTTTTTTTTTTTTTTTTTTTTTTTTTTTTTTTTTTTTTTTTTTTTTTTTTTTTTTTTTTTTTTTTTTTTTTTTTTTTTTTTTTTTTTTTTTTTTTTTTTTTTTTTTTTTTTTTTTTTTTTTTTTTTTTTTTTTTTTTTTTTTTTTTTTTTTTTTTTTTTTTTTTTTTTTTTTTTTTTTTTTTTTTTTTTTTTTTTTTTTTTTTTTTTTTTTTTTTTTTTTTTTTTTTTTTTTTTTTTTTTTTTTTTTTTTTTTTTTTTTTTTTTTTTTTTTTTTTTTTTTTTTTTTTTTTTTTTTTTTTTTTTTTTTTTTTTTTTTTTTTTTTTTTTTTTTTTTTTTTTTTTTTTTTTTTTTTTTTTTTTTTTTTTTTTTTTTTTTTTTTTTTTTTTTTTTTTTTTTTTTTTTTTTTTTTTTTTTTTTTTTTTTTTTTTTTTTTTTTTTTTTTTTTTTTTTTTTTTTTTTTTTTTTTTTTTTTTTTTTTTTTTTTTTTTTTTTTTTTTTTTTTTTTTTTTTTTTTTTTTTTTTTTTTTTTTTTTTTTTTTTTTTTTTTTTTTTTTTTAAGAGAGCAGGAAGAGGGCCGCGCACGCGTGTGTATAAGGCTTCATACAGTGATGTTGCAGGCTGTGGTAGCAGGGTGCTCTCCTCGTGTGCCACCACGGAAGAGGGTGGCAACTAAGAGGCGAATGGGAGACGCCCGTGCGCACGTACCTCCGCCCATGTATATTGAGTTTCTTGCCGCATGTTGCATTACACGATACCTCTCTTATCGGGGATATTTTGTCAGTTAATTATTTGGGATTGGCGGCGAAATGTTTTTCCACCCGTCAATTTCATCGATATTTAGCTGTCGTTGGCAGTCACATGTGAGGCCTCAGCTGAGGTCAATCGGTAATCGTGTACTGGGGATGGGGGAGACTAATGGTGCGCGTGCGTCTACCATTTTATTGCTCAAGCTCTCTTGAGAGAGAGTGTAATCATGTGGATCTACATGCCAAGCACCAACGAAGGAGACGGGAAATGGGTGGTCGTCGTATCGTTGGGTATGGGCCTCTGAGAAGTCTTGCTTGGCACGTCAGGATTCTACGGGACGAGAAACCAAGTTGCGCGTTCACCTCGGAACGATAGCATCTATACGTCCGACAGAAGGTGCTTTATAATAATTCTCGATGTTTCAGGGTCGTCAGTGGGATGGCCATACCGTGTTCGATAGATAAGCGGGGTTTTTATTATTTTCGAATTCTACGGAATGGGAGAAATGAACAAAAACGAATGATCTGAGATTTTTTTGAGATGCTTCGCATCGCGAATACTTTCAGTATGAATCAACGCAGGATTGAGGGAAGATGAAGTTATCGACCCACAGATGAGGAAATTTTTTTGACTGGGGTTTTGACGTCAGCCGACGAAAATAACGTGCACGGAAGACAGCACCCGTTGTACTGGCAGTCCCTATTAGATGTAATTGGAGGGGATTAACGAGTCATGACTCCATTTATCAGGTTCCGTAATTACAAAGCATCGGCTCTCCCTCTGAATACATCAACGCTCACTGCGGATGTACGTATACATGCAGACATTCTTTCCCTGGAGCCCTTTTCGGTCGCTACTGTTCAAGGGGGGCTGACACTTCTACTGCGCACAACTGACGAGCCTCTGAGTGATATTCCCCTAGGACGAGAGACAACTTTGCATCTCAAATAAAGTTTTGCCTGTGCGTTTGAGATAAGGGGAGGTGTCCGCTTGCTGTCGTCGGGGACAAAAGGAAGTGGAAGAAACTGGCGTAAGCTCGTATGAAGGAGTTTGGTTCATCTAGGTACACAAAAAAAATACTTTTGATCAGTAGAAAAAGTACTTGTACCCAGCACATATATTTCGCATACAGCATTTTTTGCCGCTTTTATATGTCACGTGGTTAAAATACCCGAAATATATTTCGACGTATTTTTATTCGACCCGGGAGAATTCCCTGATACCTGATATTTTTTTTGGGCGTAACTATTGAGAAGTCGTCGACACATGCTGCACTGGAAATGAAGGGAATTTTGAGACGAATAGAATGATTTTTTATTTGGGTTTCTGCGACTTGTAGTTCTGGAAATATCAGCAGTCGTTTGCACAGCTGAAATTGTGAATTTCTAGAAGGACGCGAGGGGCGCTGTCCGCAGTGTCTCGTCTACTTCTCAAAAAGTATATTTCCCATATATTTCGCATACAGCATTTTTTGCCGCTTTTATATGTCACGTGGTTAAACTACCCGAAATATATTTCGACGTATTTTTATTCAACCCGGGAGAATTCCCTGATACCTGGTCACTCTCCAACATCGAATCAATTAATTAAGGCACACGTGACTCGTCCGCATTCCTGGCAGCTGCATATCCATCGTAACAACTTGCAGACGGTAGCTGGGTATCCGTCCTGAGCCGTTGTGCATCCCTTCTATATGAGACAGACTTGTCTCCTTGACGTGGGCGGTCCAACCGCGAGTTCCCCGAGATTCATTAAGAGAGCGTAGTCTACTAAGCAACTCGTGGACCGTGTATTTTTATCGCTCGTCTCGACCCAGGGTTGACAGTTTACCTCCGGGCTTGGCAGTAGCCACCAGCAGGCTTGTTAGTGGTCCTCGTATTATCAATGATACCTGTCGCGTGGACAACGTCCAATCCTCCACGTTTGAAGTATCGAGCCTGAAAATAGAAGCAATTTTGACATTCGCGGGGCAAAAGAATGTCGCGAACAATGACGGATGTGACTGTTATTTTATGTATCTTCTGATATTTCTCATTCTCGGGATGAAGAATTTTATCGTTTTTCGGGTGAAAAAAATTTTGAGGAATTTCTTATCGATTCTTAATTTTTAGTTTTCAATTGGGTTTAATTTAATTACATTTTTACTTTCTTCAAATTTCTTGCATCTTTTTGTTCGTAAGAAGGAAATCGAAAAATTGTTTACAATGGAAATAAAATCAAATTATAAAAATTAATTGACAATTTAAAAGATTGATTGATTAATTGTGGATTTTCGAATTCAAAATCGGGAACAATGACGAATGTACCTGTTATTTTATGTATCTTCTGATATTTCTCATTCTCGGGATGAAGAATTTTATCGTTTTTCGTGTGAAAAAAATTTTGAGGAATTTCTTATCGATTTTTAATTTTTAGTTTTCAATTGGGTTTAATTTAATTACATTTTTATTTTCTTCCAATTTCTTCCAACTTTTTTTTCGTAAGAAGGAAATCGAAAAATTGTTTACAATGGAAATAAAATCAAATTATAAAAATTAATTGACAATTTAAAAGATTGATTGATTAATTGTGGATTTTCGAATTCAAAATCGGGAACAATGACGAATGTAACTGTTATTTTATGTATCTTCTGATATTTCTTATTCTCGGGATGAAGAATTTTATCGTTTTTCATGTGAAAAAAATTGTGAGCAATTTCTTATCGATTTTTAATTTTTAGTTTCTTCAAATTTCTTCCATCTTTTTTTTCGTGACGAGGAAATCGAAAAAATGTTTACAATGGAAATAAAATCAAATTATAAAAATTAATTGACAATTTAAAAGATTGATTGATTAATTGTGAATTTTAGAATTCGAAATCTTCTGAAATGTCAGTGGAATTTTCTCGAATTCACTGCAATTTGAATTCAATTTCATTTTCTTCCATTTTTCTCGTCTTTCTTTTGATAAAAAAGTGGACAAAATTTTGCAAGCAAATTGAATTAATTTTTTTCATGGAATCCTGAATTTTTATCAACAAGAGTTATTGAAATTTCCGTGGAAATTGATTCAAAAAATCCCGAAAGGAGTTGAAGAAGTGAAGAATTTTAGTCAACGTTGCTTGACATTAACGAAATTTTTATCTCCGCGCCTTGATATTTGGATTCTGATCCACACCAAGTCCGAGAGAAGGCCTCTGTCGCCCAGTTGGTGCCCCTGTGCATTGCGCGAAGGTTCGGAGCTCTCTTGCAAGCCGCACTCCGTTCATTAATCTTGATCGGATCAGTCGAGATAGCGGCGAGCTGTTTCGGAAACCCCCTCATCCTACTTTACCCACTACCATCAGCCGATCCCTCTCACCCCCTTCTTCTCATCAACTTCGCCTAGCATCGGTCTGGCCCTCTCAATTCCCTATTTTTCTTTTATCTTTTCCACTTTCGCGTTTTCTCCCTTTTTTCTTTCAGTCTAGAACGCTCGTGTTCACCTCCAACCAAACTCTTCCCGTCCGAGAGCAGCGCTAACCCTTCTTCAATTTTCACCGTATTCTCTTTTCACCTTACT